GAAATATAAATCTAATATAATCTGTTTCTCAATGTATTTTTAAAACACAATGAATTTTCCTAATATCATAATTATAATCATTCATAATTATGTGGATATGCATATTAGATAGTGTTCAGTCAAATATAAGTCCTCCACAAAGGCAGGAAAAGACCTGTAACTTACTTTAAAACTAAACATGTTCCCTAAAACGGTGACAGAGCTACAGACCCCTGACAGCCTTACCCAGCTAGCAGCTGTGACCAGCACTACTTGTGCAGTTAATAACAGGACAGGTAATGTTTGTCACGCTGTTGCACACACAGTACGCTCATTAGTTTCAAATTGTCAGTTGCCACAAGACAACTTACCAATGTGTCCATAATAAGCTAATACTGCTGTGTGCTATAGACTACAGTGTACGCAGTACAGTTACTTACTGGTTTTTGATGCATCAGTCTGCATCTCCCAGTTATTTTGTCTGTTTCTCGTACAGTTTCACACCTCTCAGGCAGAAAAAATGCGCGTACACTTTGCGAGCTCGTTTCTGGTTCGTAACCAGTGCGCTCTGCTGTCAAGGGCGATCATTGGGTAATGGTAGTCATGTGACTGATGCAAGCCAGATCCTTTAATCTAGCAAAACTATGATTAATAGCTAAATGTTATTATTGACCAATGTTCCCTCTAATTTTTCATGTGTCTGAGCAAACACACAAACTCCCTGAGTGTCCCTTGGACCGCTGTGAGCGACAGCAGACGTGTACACTGTGGTCACGCCAGCATCTAATCCATCCAAGTTACATGGTTTATTAAAATAATCAAATTACAGCATTTACATTTATGTTAGACTACTTTTAATTAACTGCTTTAGCCCACTTACAATGAAAATGTAAAAAATCTTGTTCATGATCTGTGTAGTATGTTAACACTATTGGAAGTAAAAATAACTTGAACTCCAATTTTAAAAACACAACTTTCTTTCTTTTTCTTTTTTTCATAAAGCTCTGACTTGTATTATGAGTCTGTGGTCTGGGAGAGAGTCTGTAACTCTCTGTCTGCAAAATATAGTATATAATGACCAATGTTGGGCAACAGAGTCCCAGAGAGCAGCCATTTGGCTTTTCTACCTTTAAAACCCGCCTTCCAGCCAAATGGCTGGTAGGTGTTTAGCTAGGCTTTAGCTTCAGCCAAGTGGAAGCTAAATTGTCTAGTCATAACTAGTGATAACTAGTGACTAGTGAGTCTAGTGATAACTCTGATAACAACGAGACAGCCTACCTGAAGGAGATTAGGAATCTGGAGAACTGGTGCCAGAGGAACAACCTCCTTCTAAACGTCAGTAAGACAAAGGAGCTGATAGTGGACTTCAGCACTAAGCAGGAGAGGAACTACCAGACCCCCGTCATCAACGAGTGCCCAGTGGAGAGAGTGGACAGCTTCAAATACCTCGGAGTTCACATCACGCAGGACCTGTCATGGTCCTGTCACATCAACACCGTGGTGAAAAAGGCCCGACAGCGTCTCTACCACCTCAGACGCTTGAGAGACTTCCAACTGCCCTCCAAGGTGCTCAGGAACTTTTACTCGTGCACCATAGAGAGCATCCTGGCGGGAAACATCTTAACCTGGTTCGGGAACAGCACCATGCAGGACAGACGAGCTCTACAGAGGGTTGTGCGGTCAGCTGAGCGCACCATCCGCTCCGAGCTCCCTGACCTGCACTCAATCTACAGCAGGCGGTGCTGGACCAAGGCCAGGAAGATGGTGAAGGACCTCAGCCATCCCAACAACAGACTGTTCTCTCTGCTGAGGTCAGGAAAGCGATTCCGCTCCCTGAAGACCAACACAGAGAGACTGAGGAGGAGCTTCTTCCCGCAGGCGATACGGTCTCTCAATCACACCACCACACAGTACTGACCCACACATGGTTCTTACACACACACTGGACTTTCTGGACTTTGTTTTTGCACAACACTGGTCACTATATTCTTCATTTCCGGTTAATACTTGTACAGCTGCTGTTATTGTGTATATATTTATTTATATTTAATTTCTTCATACATTCTTATATAGTTCTATATTGTGTATTTTGTTGTACAGTTATTTTATTTTCAACTTTAATTTATATATTTTATCTTATTCTTCCCAGTTAAATTTACCCTTCATTCTAATTTGTGTTGTACAGTTATTTCATTTTTAACCTTAATTTATATTTTATTCCTTCCTAGTTAAATTTACCCTTTTTAATTTTTCATATTTATTTCCTATCTTATTCATAGCCTTTCCTTTTTTGTTTTCTTTAGGTCACGAGCAGTTGTCCAAGCATTTCACTACATATCGTACTGTGTATGACTGTGTACGTGACAAATAAAATTGAATTTGAATTTGAATTTATTTGAATTTGAATTTGAATTTGATCATTCATATGTAAATTAGGTTGTTACCTGGGAATTCTGGAGGGGAGTGGGGGTGTGTGAATGAGGGGGGGGGGAGCTGCTAAAAGCTGTGAACTTCCTTTTGTGTTCGTCTTGATGCATTCTCAATCATCCAGGGAAATAAATCTCCAAAAGTCACCAACTTGGAGTGGTTAGTTTCCTGAGCCACAAGGAAACTTGTGTTTCAGTTTGCCATCTTAGGGAGAAATCAACACACATGGGTGTATTTCCTTTGTTGCTGAGATTTATTGATAAAAACAGTACAAAAAACCAACCATTTGTACACATATTTACAAATAATAATAAAAAGTGAGTGAGTACATTTCAACATTTTCTGTCACCCTTTACAACAAAACAAAGTGTGGCGTGGATGTGATGGACCAGATGGTTCGGGAGTACACTGTCCGCAGAGGAACACGGCGCTGGCCAGTTGCCGTGTTTTACAACATGATTGACATGGCAGCACTGAATGCACATGTGCTGTATCAAGCATGCACCGGGACGAAGGAAAGACTGGTGGACTTCCTGGTGGAGCTTGAAAGAGAGTTGGCTCACTCTCATGTAGCTGGGAAGAAGGCAAGAAAAGAACAGTTGCTTTGGACACAACCCTCCACACCTAGCCCTGGAAAAAGAGCCACGTGTCAGGTCAAACACAAATGCAAGAAGAATCATGCCACTGTGCAATGTGTTCACTGCTACAGATACACAATTGTGGTAAATGCAGACTACAGATACCATGGCAGTGCCAGGATTGTGAGTGATTGCTGAAAATGTTGAAATGTACTCACTCACTTTTTATTATTATTTGTAAATATGTGTACAAATGGTTGGTTTTTTGTACTGTTTTTATCAATAAATCTCAGCAACAAAGGAAATACACCCATGTGTGTTGATTTCTCCCTAAGATGGCAAACTGAAACACTCCAATTTGGTGACTTTTGGAGATTTATTTCCCTGGATGATTGAGAATGCATCAAGACGAACACAAAAGGAAGTTCACAGCTTTTAGCAGCTCCCCCACCCCCTCATTCACACACCCCCACTCCCCTCCAGAATTCCCAGATAACAACCTAATTTAAATATGAATGACTAGACAGTTTAGCTTCCACTTGGCTGAAGCTGAAGCCTAGCTAAAAGCCTACCAGCCATTTGGCTGGAAGGCGGGTTTTAAAGGTAGAAAGGTAGAAGGCTGGGCAGTGCTGGTGTTAATTATATAGTTACTTCTTCAAAAAAGTAACTCAGTTTTTTGCAGCTTTTTTTTAATGCAGCCAAGGTGTTTTTAAATAAACATTTCAAAATATTTACAGAACAATCTGTTCTGCATCAAATCTGATGCCACACAAATTATTTGTGCCACTCCAAAAAGAAATTTCTGTCCACTATGAGACGAAGGAGAACAACAGCCTGATACCTGCAGGCCTGACAACAGCAGATGTATCACTGCTGTAACACCTGTAACATTCAGCAGTCGCCTCATTGTTCTGACACACACAACAAAACTATTGACTACACTACACACTAACTACACACTAACTACACAGGATTTGCGCTAAACGTCGCAAATCTCTCACATCTCAAAACACCGCCGTCACTCCTAAAACTTCCCCCCGTGTCTTAACAGCTAGATGCCACGTTGCCATATAATTTTTTGATTGGTCAACATGGTACTTTTTTCGACCAATAGGAAAGGGTGGGGGGTTGGTTTTGTTTTTGCTCACAGGAGAGTGCTTTCGAGCGTTATAAAACGCCGTTTTTACCGTTTCTTCCTGCAGTAAATAAATAACGACAGTATTCAGGAAGAAAACCAAACACTGCAGATATTTTTATCATGACTCTGGTTTTCCGTGGCCGATCAACACAATTTAAAAACTGGTATAAAGTCCACACTTTGTCCGTCAGTTGTTCGTCTGTCCTGCTCACATCTCCAGTGGTTGTCCACGTTGTCATTAACGTGGCTTCACTCCACATCAGCCACGCTGCTTTGCTAGTTAAAACACCGGTGTCGGCACATAAGGACGCTGTCATCAATGACGTTGATTAGCTGCGTATATACGAATGTGAATCGCATCATTGGCTGGACTATGGGATAAGGTGGCATCGTTCTAAACACATACAGGAGCAGCCAGTGACTTACTGACTAACACTACAAAACAGAATTGTTGAAATTTTAATTTTAATTTCAATTCAGGTTAGATTATTTTTGTGCACAGCGCAGATTTTCTGTGCCAGCATTGCGCAATTGCGCACGTGTGTAGCTTAGAGGGAACATTGTTATTAAGGGGTACAGGCAGGACTCCACATACACACACACATGAAAAAAATAATAATAATTTTAAAAAAATTATAAAAATTTGCCTAAAAAAAAGGGCACTTGGGGCACCCATCGGGGAAGGGGCAGGTGCTCAAGCCCCTTCTGCCCCCACGTCTGCACATGCCTGGTGGGGACAGCTGTTGGTCCAGGCCTGCGTGGAAGAAGGTGGAGTAAAGCCAGTGGTGTCGTTAGGCCTATTTTAGGGGTGCTGAAGCCTCCCTAAAGCTGTGTGGCAGGTCAAATTGCTGACTCAAGTCTTGTCTGTGTTTCTGCAGATTTTTGTCTCGAAAAGAAGGAAGAAGAGAGAGACGCCTGAAGACGACGAGACGAGTTTTAGTTCAGAATCTTGAATTTGATCTGATGACTTTATTTCACTCTGAAGAGTAAAGACTGAACCGTAACCACAAACTTTCAGTTGTGTTTGATTTCAGAGGATACTGTTGAAGTAGTGTGTGTGTGTGTGTGTGTGTGTGTGTGTGTGTGTGTGTGTGTGTGTGTGTGTGTTGGGATATTTTTTGTCTTAAAATATTTAAGCCTGATCTTTTTAGGGCATAGTCAGAGTCAGGATTCAGATTTATCAGGTTAAAATTACAAGAAAGGAAAGGAGGAAAAAAGAAAAGGCAGAAAAGGAGATAGGAAATGAATGAAACGGATGAGTAAAAGGTGTGAAAAGAAAGTAGAGACCATGTAAAAGAGAAGGAAGGACAGAGAAATCATGAACACGAAGAAAGAAAAAGAAGACCCTCGCCTCAGTTTAGTTTTATCAATATGTGACCAAATTACAGTCAGAGTGCTTCATACTGTAAAGAAAAGAATGATACTGAGAAAGGCTTGAAGAAACAGAAGAAGAAAACGAGGGTTTGAGGAGGAAGAAGAGTGAGAGATGAAGCTCTGAAGTTGAAGTCCAGACTGATCAGGTCACGTTTTATTCTTTGTTCTTAATTATTTGTATTTGAAATAATTAATGATAATCATATTGTATATGATTAGGTTAAAGCATGTCTGACATTTTATTCTTCATCAAAGCGCTGCTGTAGCGCTCCTCTGTCGCCAGGTGGTGCCCTCGGGCTCCTTATACCTCGAGTAGGCTCCGGTGCGCGTCCGCGTGGGACAGCGGGTGCACAGAACGAGCGAGAAAGAGCATCTGACTCCAAACGCGCGCGCGCGCAAGGGAGGATGCAGTCTCGGTTCAGACAACAGACGCGGAGCTGAAAAAGACGAAGAAGAACCGGGAGAACCGAGCCAACCCGCCGACACCGGAACCACCGGGACCAGCAGCGGGCTGGGCAGCAGCCGCCGGGCCAGACCTCCTCCCTGTCGGTGTGACTGTGCTGCAAGCCCCGGAGAGGAGGAGGAAGATGAAGAAAAGCAACCAAAGCAGGCGGGTCAGTGAGAGAGAGAGAGCTCAGGATCGATCAGTGTGATCGCTGATCGTTGACTCCGATCGCTGGTGTTTTCTGTCCGTTTGTTTGCGTCACGTGACGCTGCTTTGTGCTTTATTGAAGCTTCATTTTTGTTGAACCTTTATTTAAACACATCTCTGACACAAACTGAGCTGAGACAGGTGATGTGAGGTGAGGGTGGTGCAGTGATGCCTCCACCCTGCTCGGAGCTGCAGCTTCGTTCAGGAAGTTTCTCCTTTTTTTGTTCACAAAGAAAATCTGCGGTTTCAACACCATCGATGACGTCACGATGCCGCCATAGCCATGGCTCTTTCTTTTATTTATTTAGTTATTTTTCTTCTCGTTATTTTGTTTCCATTTCATTTCTATTTATGAAGACAATCATTACATGTTTACATCTTTGCCTTGTTTTTATCGTAATTCCTACCTGTGTGCTTTTCTCTTATTTGCCAGTATTAGGAATCTGTCAGTATAATTTTATGTGATTGATCTTTGTTTCACACACGTGTTTGAGATTCTTCCCAGTTTAAACGTCTGATGAAAACTGTGTGTAGATCAGGTTAATTCTGCCTGTAATGACCTGTTTGGTATACATTTTTAGAAAGCTGCAGTGCTCCCCTTTTTTCTTTACCTCAGATTTCTTTTTTGTCTCTCGGCCGTTTCGCGTCACCTCTACATTGTTTACTGTTTTTGTTTCCCACCGAGGTCATTTCCTGTTTCTCTGACATAATTTTGTGTCTTCAAATATTACTTGTTTTATATGTCATGTTTATAGCTCTCCTGGGTAGTTTAATGCCTGGTTTAGTCTCTCTCAGGCCGTTTGCCTGTTTGTGTCTTTGAGCTCGATCCTCTCTGTTGTCTTTATTCTTTGTGGGTCAAATGTTTTCTGTCCTACTCTCATTTGCTTATTGCCTTGCCTCTGTGGGTCTTCCCATCTTTCTTAGATTCTTTTGTTCCTCTTGCATTGTATCTTCATCGGTCTCCGTTGGTCTTTGCGTTTCTCTGAATCCTCCTGTTATCGTTGTGTTGTAGGGTGTTCAGGACTCCGGTCCGCTGCCCGTCCAGCAGCTGGAGAAGGTGGGCTGGATCCGGAAGTTCTGCGGTCGAGGGATTTTCAGGGAGCTGTGGAGGAGTCGGTACATGGTGCTGAGAGGAGACCATCTCTACATCTCAGACAAGGAGGTGAGAACACCAATCAGAGAAACTGGACAGACCCCCTATGGGCTGCTGGTTCCAGTCTGCTGGACAGGCCAGGGAGGACTGTGGGTAGGCTGTGCCAGACGACAGGTTTACCGGGTGCAGCTAATCCGTAGCTCACATCTCTGATCTAGTTTGATATTTTCTCTGTGGTGTGTTGTTCGGATAAAAAGAGCTCAACAGTTAAACAGAGATTGTAGATGCATCATTTATCATTGTTACAGATGTTTGCAAGGAGAAACAGGCAGAAGCTGTGAGATGGTCCTAAAGCAGAGTGTTTCTTATTTAAAAGTCATTTTCAGAATTGTAAAACCTTATTGTGGATGTAAGAGCCAAATTATGTGGACAATTTGCATCCAACTCATTGTGTAACATTTTATTTGGTGGTATTTGATGGTTTGGGCCCCAGGAAGACTAGCAACCACTGTTGTGGAAGCTAATGGGGTTCCTTATAAATAAACAAATAAACAATGCAGTAAAAAGACAAAGAAATGTCATGTGAAACAGAGGAAATGGGGATTAATCCAAAGGAAGATGTAAACGTTTGTGGGTTAACGCGTTTGAGGCCGGACCTTGGATTTCCATCAAGTGAGAGGATCTCGGCAGTCCCGCTCTGTTTATTTTCAGCTCTGATGACGCTGAGTCATTTCTAAACAATGGCAAGTCACACAGAGTGATCATGTGACCTCTGATGTCATGTTCTGATTTCAGAAATATGTCCTGAGTGAAGAAGAGACAGACATGATGTTTGTGAACAAACAAGACCTCATCCCACAGAGTGGTTTCATGGCAGCGAGTGCTGCTTTTAATCCTGCCGGCTACACACAGCTGGCAAGGGTCATTTCCAGCTGGGAGAGGTTTCAGGGGCTTCCTGAGGGTATCATCATCTCTGATGTTTCGTCAGAACTCCCTCAAAAGCTGTTTAGGGTTCAAGCAGTAGAAGTGAGCCGCTTTCTCTGAGAGTAGCTCGGCTCTCCTGTAGAGATCAGGTGAAGAGCTCAGTCATTTAAGACTGACTCACTGTACCACTGCTGCTCCTCCACATAGAAAGGAGCCAGTGGAGGACACCTCCCAGGTCAGGTGTTATGGGGCAGATCACAGACACGCTGCAGATATTTCTGTATGGCCCTCAGCTGTCCTGGGAATGCCTCAAGGAGACTGGGAGAGGAAGGTCTGGAAGTCTCTGTCTAAAGTGCTGCCCCCAACAACCAAATAACAGGTAATAACAGGTATTTTCTCTGTGGTATATGTCCATATATTCCCTGAACGCAGTGTGGAGGCAGGTGTAAATGTGGCTGCAGCAGGTGTGTTTGGACTAGGAAGTGTTCACACTGGCCTTATGTAAGCGTCTATTACGCAAGAGCACAGCAAAGATCGTGGACGCTGAGTCAGACTTTGTTCTTGCCAAAACTCTGAGTTTAACTCTCAGGAAGAGGAGGAGGACGATGTCTGTCAGCTCGTGGACACATCAGGACACAGGAAATGCCTCGTAGCTGGCTTTGAGCTTCTCTATTTCACAGATAGAAACAAAAAGAAATATAGTAAAGGGAAAAGATGCCTGAGGTCATCAGGATCACACACAAACCTGCCACTCAAAATCCATTCACTCAGTAAAACCAGAGCTCCACCTTCTTATGTACAGTAACCTTGCAGCAGTCATATTATTGGTCACGTAATGTCATCAAAACGCTCCAAAAGGCTCCAACAACACAAACACGATCCAGGGTCCAGTTCAGGTGAAGGCTAGCAGACAGCTAACAGCTACAGCCTTCTGTGTCACCATCCACCTGTCAGTCACAGAGGCCATGCCCCCAATAATGCAAACTTTGATGCACGTGAGCCACAGAAGAATGCAAAGAATGCAACACGGTGAGTTATAAACAGGTGTTATGAAGGAATGAGGAAACGTCAAAGGTGCACTCACGTTTCTTAAAAGTACAAAAAATCAGCTGATTTATGGATTTGTGATGTTTTCATCAGGCTGTCGCCTTTATCGCCATCAAAGTCTCTCAGAAAACATTTTTTTATATTTTTGCTTGTATTATTAACTGCATCCATCAAACAAGTCAGTTTTTAAAGAACACAGCTATACCAAGACTACAATTAACATTTAATTTCACAGTATTATATGAATCCGAAAAGAAGTCAGAGATAACATTCGCTCCCTTTCTTAGTAAAAATTCTGGAAAAGATAGTGGCTGCACAGGTTTATAGACATCTCAGTGGAAATAACTTGTACGAACAGTTTCAGTCTGGCTTCTGTTCATGTCACAGTACAGAAACAGCCCTAGTAAAAATCACCAATGATCTTCTGCTTGCAGCTGACTCTGGACTCATTCTCCTTGACCTTACAGCAGCTTTTGACACTATCTCCCACTGCATCTTTCTTCACAGATTAGTATCTATTGGCATCAATCGTACAGTACTCTCCTGGTTTACCTCGTATCTCTCTGGCCGCTCACAGTTTATTCAATTACTCACTCAAAGATCAGGATCTGGCACAGCCATGTTTTTGTCCGTAGAAACCCTCATTATATTTGAAATATGTAGTGGTAAGGCAGAGGTTGAACAGTGTGCAAATCTGATCAGGAGTGAAGTTGGTCCTGTCTTCCAAGGAGCTGTGATATGTAAGGCGGTCAATGATTTTGTCCTTTTCAAGGTTTTGAAGGCAAGCTATAACTTTCTTTTTGTAGCTGCTTGTGGGTCTTGCTTTAAGGCTTCATTGGTATTGTTGTCACTGAGGAGAGTAGTGATCTTTGTGTGGTAATCTGTAGTGTTTAGGATCACAGTGCATCTTCCCTTATCAGCTGGTAATATAGTGATGTTGTGGTCTTTGCTCAGGGAAGCGACGGCCTTCTTTTCTTGTATTGTGAGGTTAGACGGAGGGACTTTGGCACTGGAGAGGGTGGCTGAGACTTTCATCCTGATTTGCCTGCTTCTGATGGCAACCTCAACACTGAAGTTTACCGGAAGCCCACACACACAGACCAGTACCTCCTCTTTGACTCCCATCACCCTCTGGAGCACAAACTTGGAGTAATTAGGACCCTACACCACCGGGCAGAACATGTTCCCTCTAAGCCTGAAGGGAAAAAGAAGGAACACACACATGTAAAGGAAGCACTCAAAACATGCAGTTATCCTAAATGGGCGTTCTTAAAGTCAGCAAAGAGGCACAGAAAAGAAGACCAGACACCAGCTAGGGAGGATAAGAAGGACAGACGCAACAACATTGTCATCCCCTATGTAGCCGGTGTATCAGAGACACTCAGAGTTTTCTCCAAGCATGACATCCCGGTGTATTTCAGACCCAGCAACACGCTCAGACAAAAACTGGTTCACCCGAAAGACAAAACGCCAAAACACAGACTTAACAATGTGGTGTATGCTGTACAGTGCAGCGAGGAATGCCCAGACCTCTACATCGGAGAGACCAAACAGCCACTTCACAAGCGCATGGCACAAACCAGAAGAGCCACCTCCACAGGACAAGACTCAGCTGTTCATCTGCATCTAAAGGTCAAAGGTCACTCTTTCGAGGATGTTCACATGTTGGACAGAGAGGACAGATGGTTTGAAAGAGGAGTGAAAGAAGCCATTTATGTCCACTGTGAACGACCATCTTTGAACAGGCGGGGTTTACGACACCAACTCTCTGCCATCTATAATCCAGTTTTGAGTTCCCTCCCCAGACGCCTTAACGCCCACTCACATCCTGGGCTATCTGATCTCAGGAAATCACATGATAAGGTGGGGCCAGGTTTCACAATGAGCTCACCCGACACCCTGGCTGATTGTGACCCACACCCGTTTTCACACCTCGGCTCATGTGATTAGGTAGAGGATCATCAGGGGTCCTTTTGTCCCTCTGTGGGGGGAAACTCCCACTAGGTTTATATCTGGGACTCTCCACCATTTGACCTTAGAACTGAAGAAGCTTCTCGGATGAGAGGTGAAACGTCTTCAAGCAACTTAAAGAAGTCCAGACGCTTTTCTTTGCAAGCTCCTTAGACTATGATGACCTGGATGACTGAGAACCTTCACAGACATTTTTTTAACTGTATGTCTAAATTTTATTTTGCCATATTTATTATATTTTATTGCTGCTATTATTCTTGGGTTATTGTAAGGTGACCTTGAGGGTCTGAAAGGCGCCTATAAATAAAATGTATTATTATTATTATTATTAACGTCAATTTTACTTTAACACAAGCATGAAAAGATTATGTCTATTGATCAAATCTCAAAACCTTTTTTAATGCAAGTTTTATATGGATTGTTTTGAATTCAGTGATAAGATAAGAAGAACTTTGTTTATCCCGTTGGAAATTCTTTTGTCGGAGCCATGCTCAGTGCAGCAAGAGAAAGAGGAACAGAGGAATAAAGATATACAATAAGAATTGTAGGATACATTAGGATAGTGCAAATATAATATCAAAATAACTCAAAGTAACAATATGAATATATCAGGTAAAATAAAATAACAACTATCAGTGCAGGTGATAAAAAACATGGCGTAGTATTGTGTAATGAATAAAAAGAGAGTAGCAGTGTGTGATGGGGGATGAAACAAACATTCAGTAACATACAGATAAGTACGAGATTTATTCTGCTGTGAGCAGCAGAGTAATGACTCACGTTAACCCAGAGAGAGAGTGTGTGAGTTTGTGACTTGTTCCATCATTACTCGTCATATTTCATCTTGTTCCTGTTCTTCAGCAGTACGCTAACCCAGAACTTTTTAACGTACATGCCTGAGGGAGGACTCGCTGTGTGTGTGTTTCTGCTCTGTGACAACCATTTTTACTGTTTAACTGTCATTGTTGGGAGCGTTTTGGTTTGTGAGGACATTTCTGTTTTTGGACACACATTATTTTGTTTACACTGATTCTTGTGGACCGTTCAGAAACGGTGTTGGAATTAATCTTTCAATCTATGCTTTTAGTCTGATAGTGATTTCAGGATGAGTTCCTGCCCCAAGTGGTGGAGTTTAAGTATGACGGGGTCTTGTTCACGAGTGACGGGAGAAGGGAGCGGGAGATCAACAGACGGATTGGTGCAGGGGCTGCAGTGATGCGGACGCTGTACTGGTCTGTTGTGGTGAAGAGAGAGCTGAGTGTAAGACCAAAGCTCTCGATTTACTGGTCGATCTACGTCCCTGTCCTCACCTATGGCCACGAGCTGTGGGTAGTGACCAAAAGAACAAGATCGCGGATACAAGCGGTGGAAATGAGCTTCCTCCAAAGGGTGGCTGGTCTCTCCCTTAGAGATAGGGTGAGAAGTTCGGCCATTCGGGAGAGGCTCAGAGTAGAGCCGCTGCTCCTCCACATCGAAAAGAGCCAGCTGAGGTAGTTCGGGCATCTGACCAGGATGCCTCCTGGGCGAGGTTTTCCGGGCATGTCCCACCAGGAGGCCCCGGGGCAGACCCAGGACACGCTGGAGAGATTATCTCTCGGCTGGCAGGGGAACGCCTTGGTGTTCCCCTGGATAAGCTGGAGGAGGTAAAACAGTCAGATGGCCCTTTAATCTCAGGTGTGTTCACAGATCTCAGACAGCAGCTGCTCAGTGTGTTCAGCCAGTTGTTAACAAGCAGTGTGACACACACACACACACACTCCTTTGTCACTGCATCTGTGCTAGCGTGTATGCAGAGCGTTATTAGAGACAAACACAGAATTCATTCATCTCTAATCTCAGATTATTTTAACTTGCATGCTTCCTCTAAACCAGGGGTGTCCAACTCCAGGCCTCGAGGGCTGGTGTCCTGCAGGTTTTACATGTGTCCTTGATCCAACACAGCTGATTTAAATGGCTAAATGACCTCCTCAATATGTCTTGAAGTTCTCCAGAGGCCTGGCAATGAACTTATCATGTGGTTCAGGTGTGCTGACCCAGGGGGCACGGCCCTCGAGGCCTGGAGTTGGACACCCCTGCTGTAAGCTGTCCTGTACACTTATGTTCTTCCATCATGAACCTGCAGAACTGATCGCTGTTATTTGTAAACCATGCTGATGCAGGTGTGTTTTTGTGTTTGCAGGTGAAAGATGAGCGTAAGGCTCAGGAAGTGTTCGACCTGGCTGATTACGAGCGCTCCGAAGAGCTGAGGAAGGCCAAGAGCCGCAGCAAGAAGAACCACAGCCGCTTCACGGTGCTGCGCTGCAAGCAGCCGGGAAACACCGTGAGTGTCATGGTCCTGGGCCATGTGGGCCCAGTAGTCTTAGTTTTCATGTATGTTTGTATTTTGTTCTTTATTTAGGCCATGCTTCCTGGGTTGATCTGTTACGTTGTTCCTTATGTGTTTTCCC